CTCTACAGATGCAGCAGCGCATGCACAAGTTCCCAGATTTCACCGAATTCAGGTTCAGCAGAAGTATACATGAAGCGTCTTATAATACAAGGGGTGAGTTTGATCTCCTCAGAAAGTAAGTTTTTTGAATCAAAAAAACATGATAGACACTTCTTGTGATAAACCTCGCCGCCATTCTGATAATAGAACAGTTTGAAAGGCTCTACAAAAAAAATCGAATCACTTTCGAAAAGACTTTCTCAGCCAAGAAAAACTTTGTTCTGTAGGTGCTCGACGCTCTTAAAAAGCAGGGACGAGCCGCAGGTCTTTCTGATTTTGTAATAACAACCATATCATGTCAGCTCGGTATCAACGTCTTCTACACACCACTATCATGTCCTAAGGTTTCTGTTTACCCAACACGGCCTGGTAAGTTTTTTAACTTTTAGCATCCATTAAGGAAACTACATGCAATTCGTTCATTTCTAACCAGAGATTTTTTGAATATCGATTTAACTCTAATACTGTAGCGAATCGTCTTGTTTTGAAAAGAAAAGTCTGGAAATGGCTCTAAACTGTTTGGGATGGCCATGAAACATTGTTTTCAGAATTTTTTTCACTAACATATTTTTGAATGATTGAGACGACATGAGGATGTCATAAAAACGTTTCTTGGGGTGGTGTTCCGGTGTGTACGTCTTCTGCAAAGCTGCTTTATTTAAGTGGATTGTCCCAGCTATGACGTAGGCAAAGAAGAAATGTTAGTGCCCAAAGCCAGAAAATGAATATCCACATGGCACAAAGAGATCTCGATCTGTGTTCTGTTAAGCATTTCAATCACTTATATCTGAGAACATAAATTGCAACTAACCAGTACTATGCTGCTACAAAAAATTACAAAAAAATTACAAAAATTACAAAAAAAAAATTACAAAATTATTTGACTCAGTGTTTTCACACAAGCCACTTCGTGGTCAAATAAAAACTGAGGAAAATCAGAAAAACACCGACAAAAACCTATTTTTTATTTGTTTGACTTTGCAGTGAAAATTAATGATTGAATGAAGAAGTTTGTTGCAGTCCGGCGAGATCCGCTGGTGATCATGATGAGGACGACCTGTGTCATTTTCGGCAACACAGTGACGACGACTTGTCATGGAATGGGAGCACCAGGTGCTGGAGGAAACGACAGAACGTGTACGCTAGGCATGGCCGTAGATTTTACACCAATTCCCCCTCAACCCTTATCAATTTCAGGAACTCTCACGGTTTGGATTGTTTTACTGCGCAACATCACTTTGAAAGCAAATGTTATGTGTTTGGACCTCCAATCTCATCATGGCGATGTGAAGCAGGGAAATGTGGCAAAGTGTAGTGAACAGAGTGGCTTCGAATGATTACATTTTGTCCGTTTGGAACGCACTTTGCCACTGCTGTTGCCACCCTCACCTAAATAGTGAATGCAGTGGAGAGTATTCAAGACTAAATCATTCAATCTGTGAAATTTGTTATGCTGTAACCTAACAAATTCAATAAATAAGCATGTCATTGAAGTAATAATTGAAAAAGGGATAATAGACAGTAGGACCCCCCCCCCTCCAAATCTCTGCAAATGCACTGTTAACGTTTGCAAATGCTAAGCTTTTCCAGGGAAATTTGGATATTCGATCTCTTTCGATTTTTCATGAGTCAAAGTTAAAAAATAAGGAAAGAATACTGTATTAAAATTGTATGCTGCTGTGAGGATGTAGCACAGAACTTCTCCTGCAATTTTAAAAAGGTGCAGCTTACAAAGTACTCTAGAGATGGAGAAGCTATCACCAGCTGTTGAAAAACCATCTTTTGGAGTCCGGTGTGTGAAGAGCAATCACGCCTAGATAAAGCGATAATAAGCAACATGCTTTTCGTCGTTGCGGTGTCGTATCCTACCGTGATCACGTTCGACTTTCGTTGATTGACGACTTTGATATAAAATATAGCCACATGGATAGAAATCATTTCTGAGCGTTAGGTGTAGGAAGAACATGCATAGATCAAGGAATCGTAAATAAAAGCATTTTTTGTCGAAACAGTAGTCGCACGACACCGCATCTGCGTACGATCTTCGTTGATTGACGATTCAAATAGTCCTGCTAACTGATATTTCTTACTGAAGGCGCTTAATTTTCAAACCTTTCTTAGGTGAGATGTTTATAGGCTAGCTCGAAAGAGAACGATAGAGTGATTTTGATGGATACTGTAACTGTAAGAAACCGAAATTACGTACGACCTTTTTTTGATTGACGACCCAAATATCCTTACTACGGATAAGTTTTCTTCAAATATTATTAGTCATTGAAATTCTTGTTGAGAGGCATGCTTTTCGTCTGTGTGAAGGGAGATAGATTCGTCTCAGTTACTGCTGTCGGCAAATCCCAGGTAAACTAGCTTGAAATACGGCGAGAACTGCAGCTAATCCTTCCCGGGCACTTTCTACGCTAAGGCTTCCATAATAGACTGATATGATGTGATGTACCCGAGAATTCTTATAATCTTTCAGCTGGTATTCTATATGCACTCTATTTTTTCTGCTTATCTATCTTCTTCATTTTGCTTCGTCTTCTTGGTGATTTCTTCTCCTCTGTGCGGATCCCAGTACTTCTAGCATTCAGTTCGCTTCTTCGTCTCCTTCTTGAACGTTGCATAAAACTGATTGAGCGAGTCTCCTTGCAATCCAAGGGATCGCCTGGCTGTGGCGTTAAGCGCTGTTGTTGACTGCCGGACAGCGTCTTGGACGGGGATAAGCCCGCGCACCGCGGTGAGCATCACAACCACTCGGCGAGGGCGCCTTTCATTATCCCTTATTTCAAGTTTTCTCTTGTTTAGAAAGCGTATTATGTGGTCCTGCAGCTAGTTAATTCTCCTAATGGATTCGTTCCATCGCAGTCGCCCTCCACAGAGCTCTTCGACAACTTTTCTTGTCGCTTCGTCTACTGCTTAAGGCGGACTTCGTTTTCTTCATGAATGTTGTAGAATGCTGGTCAAGATAGTTCTCCTTGCTGTTTAGAGGTTTCGCAGGTCTCTCGTTTATCAGTCATAATTCTTTCTATTTTGACTGCCACTTGCATGGTATGATGTTATTAGTATACCCAATATGTGGAGTACTGTGCAAAAACGTTTGCGTTAGCCGGGATTCGAACCCAGATCTCACTCTTTCCAGGAGCGTATGATAACCGTTGCATTACCGACGCTCGTTCTGTACAGCACTCTTATTTACGCTACAACGCGTTGTCTGCCAAACAACCCAACGTCGGCTGACGCAAACATTTTTGCACAGCACTCCACAACATTGGGTATACTGTAACCATATCACTGCAAGTGACAGTCAAATAAAAAAAATTCTGACTGATTATCGATATCCAATGTCTGTCAACACAAGTGAGTTCAATACCGATAGCGGCTGCCCCGCCAAACCGTCGACGGTTGGCAGTTGGCAGACAACGCGTTACAGCGTAAATAAGAGTGCTGTGGAAAACGAGCGTCGGTATTGCAACGGTTATCATTCGCTCCCGGAAAGTGTGAGATCTTGGTCCGAATCCCGGCTGACGCAAACGTTAAAATGAGTTAATTGAAAAGATATAATACGCGATCTTTTTTCGTTAAACGGTACGAGATGAAAAAACGATGCAACAATTTATTCAAAGGAGTGCTAGTAATCACTCGAACGCTTAAATATCTGGCTAGAGTCGTAAGGGGCTGAATTCCCTAGAAAGACCCTTTTATAACGCTGTAAAATTCAAAATAAAGTCATGTTTTACGTCTGCCGCGAAATTCTAGTATTATTTTGCAGGAATCACGAAAAGCATATGAAAGTGTAGAAAAATCTTATAGTATCGATGTCATACGCTTAATCTGGAGATTCTTTCAAAGCGGGGAAATAAATCCTAAATGAATAACAAAAATTGGACTTCACATGTTACCCGCCGAAGCGTCATCGATCGATGGCCTCGTTGAAATGCGGGCATTCCTCTTTACGTCCACCCCAACCCGTAGATTAGCAAAAGAACACATGCCCGCATACGTGAATCAGTCTTATTTTCCATGTTACATTGCGGAGAGATGACTTTTCCAGAAAATGAGCACAGCGTTGCAAAAGCTAAATCTTACGCTACTGAATAATTATTAACATTCCAAAGAAAGAACTCCGTACTGCCAGAATTATGAGCGCGTAAAAACATATTTTTTTCTGTCGTTGACGTGTTACAATAAGCCTTTATCAAATAATGGCCATGTACCGCGCTAGCCAGAGATTTAAGCTTTCGATTGAGTACTATATGTGGCACGGAAAGTGTTTGTCCAGTAATTGAAATCGTTTCCTGATCTTGTGCCGTTTAATTAAAAAGTAGCGAGATAAACATTATGAACATATGGATAAACGAATATGTACTAAACGAAACGAGTAAGCATTGAAAACAAATGATTTACAAATTCAAATAAGTAACAATACTTAAGTATTGATGAAGAAACAGTAGTAAATAAACGATAATTAAGAAAGAAACAAATAAATGAATGATTACAATCACCTGTAACACTTTGATCCGACGAGTTCGATTGTCCGTACACCACCCATGAATTGACGAGCCGACAGCTTGAGATGGTAATAAGATCGATTCTTCATCGCCATCAATGATCCCACATCATCTCCTGTGAAGCTCCCATCACCACCTCAACGCCATGTACTGAGATCAGTGCTTATTTCCTCAAATGCAGTGGAAATTTGCCTCCAGAATCATCGAAAGCCTCCGGGCTTTCATTGTCATAGAGCACTGAGGAGGCATCATCGAACGATTGCAGTGAGGAAGACGACTCTTCTGGCAAGTCCGATACCTCAACTTTCATACTTTAAGTAGCCAGTAGTATCCTGTAAGGCAACGAGAATTATCCAGAGACTGATAAACGAAGTTTCGAACCTCTGGCGAGAATCAATCCTGGGACTCATCCTCTACCTAGAGCATACCTTTGTATAGCAGAAAAAACGATATTCCTGATAATGCAGTGGTTAGCATTCGTCCTGGAAAGATGAGACGCTGGTTCGACTCCCGCGTGAGGATTTGAGTTTTGCATGTAAACGAACATTCTCGGATATATTGGCTTAGCACCATATCACTGCTCGGAAACGGAAAATAAAAAAGAATTGCCATAGATCACAAATCTCCACAAATTACTCTTTGATATACATATGCATGAGCACATAATTCCAAGAAATAAAGATCAAATATTTCGGTATCGAGGGTCTACCTTCTGTGCATCTCCAGCCACAGGACACAAAAGCATTCAATATATTATTTTGTCTTAATTGTGATAAGAATATCACATGTTCTGAGCCGTTAGGTCTAGTGCTATATAGGCTCCTATCGTCCTACTAGGACTCATTAGTAGCACCCTCACTCGGTTCAGGCGATCCCCTGAGGCTAAATAATCCTTTAAAGGAATCTACGCCGACGAATAAACGAAGAAGCGCCTATAATGCACTAGATCTGTCACCTCAAAACAAGTCTTATCATTTAAGAATTCCAAAAATCACATAATTACTCAAATCTCGTTGACTTCAAAGGTATGCTTTATTCTCAGAATGGTTTCCTTAATGCGTTCTAGTAGTAAAAAATAAAGCTGTACTGCACACTCAAACATTTCTCGCTGATTAAAGCTCTTCCGATAGACTTTCCAAATTGCTCGATATCTCAAATCTCTGCTATTCCTCTAGTGACTATTCCTTATCCTTTATAGAGGATTATATAGCACTAGACCTAAGGGCTCAAAACATGTCATATCCTTATAGATTATATCGTTTTGAACGGTCTATAAAAAAGCGGTCGATGGTAGCGCTATCTTAACTGCATTACCGTTGCTTCTTTTCTATTTATAACAGCATAATATACTTAGATATAACATACATGCGAAACTAGTAGTACAATTGAAATGATACAGCAATATATTCAATACGTCCCGACGCTGGGATCAAAGATGCAAAAGAAGTGTATAGATGGTCCCGAAAACGCTAATTATGGTGAATTATGATATGAAACAATTCTAAACGAGAAAATTACAAGACAATAAAAATTGACGCCAAAATATTTTGCGCTGGACAAATGTTTGTGCACAATTTGTGTCCACCCATGAAGGAAAACGGAATCATTTTACGAAAGAAATAAATCCTGAGGCGATGGACAAGTGGTTAGTGATGAAGGCTATCAGGAATCAAGGTGCTGGTTGTGCCTCCTCCCCACCACTTTCTTGCAAGGAATGAACGAGAGACCTACCAAACCTCCAAAACAGCAAGGAGAACGATCTTGACCGGCATTCTGCAAAATTCATGAAGAAGACGAAATCCGCCTCAAGCAGTAGTCGAAACGACAAGAGAAGTTGTCGTAAAGCTCTGTGGAGGACTATGGCGACGGTACGAATTGACTGGGAGAATTAACTAGCTAGAGAACCTACATATTACACTTTCTGAAATAACAAAAAAATCTTAGGTAAGGGATAAAGAGGGGCGCCGTGGCCGAGTGGTTGTGATGCTCGCCGCGGCGCGCTCGGGCCCCGTCACGACATTCTCCGGCATTCAACAACAACGCCTAACGCCGCAGCTAGGTTATCCTCGAAATTGCAAGGAAGATCGTTCAATCATTATTCTACGACGTTCACAATGAAAAGAAAAAAACGAATTGAATGCTAGAAGTATTGGGATTTGCATAGTGAAAAAACACTGTGAAGACGAAGCAAAATAAATAAGACAGAAATACAAAAAAAATAAGTGCGTATAAAGTCCCAGCTCAGGAATTACGAGAATTCTTAGACAAATCATACCGCTTACTAAGAAAGCTGTAGCGCAGAAAGTGGCCAAGAAGGGCTAATTGCAGTCCTCGCCGTATTTTGAGCGAATTCATTCAGGATTTGCAGACAACAGTAACTGAGACGAATGCAATAGCCTTCGCACAGGCGAAAACCACGCCTCTTGACAGGGATTGCAATAACTATTTATATTTGAATAAATATTATCCGTAAGAGGGATATGTGGGCCGTCAATCAATAAAGGCAGTACGTAATTTCGGCTTCTACAACTACAGTATTTGTCAAAATCACTCTATCGCTCTCCGTCGTGCTAACCCGCAAACATCTCATCTAAGAAAGGTTTTGATAATTAATCGTTTTCAATAAGAAATATCACTTAGCAGGACTATTTGAATGGTCAATCAACGAAGATCATGCGTAGTTACGGTATACTTCGATTATCGTTTTGACGAAAATTGTGTTGTTTACGATCCCTTGATCTGTGCCTGTTCTTCCTACAGCTAAAGCTCTATAACGTATTTCTAGACATATGGCGATACTTTATATATAAATCGTCAATCAACGAAGTCGTACGTAATTACGGTAGCTACGACACCGTATCGACGAAAAGCGTCTTGTGACTATCCCTTCATCTAGGTGTGACTGTTCTTCACACACAGAACTCCAGAAGCTGGTTTTTCGACAGCTGGTGGTAGCCTCTCCATCTTTGGAGTATTTTGTGAGTTGCAATTATCTAAAGTCACAGCAAAAGCTTTATGACGCATCGTCACAGCAGCATGGAATTTTGATCCACTATTACAAGTACGTTCTGACTTTGACTCACGAAAAATCGAAAGAGATCGAATATCCAAATTTCCCTGGGAAAGCTCAGCATTTGCAAACGTTAACAATGCATTTGCAGAGATTTGGGGGGGGTCCTACTGTTTATTATTCCTTTTTTAATTATTACTTCAATGGCATGCTTATTTATTGGGTTTGTTAGGTTACAGCGTAACAAATTTATGGACTGAATAATTTATTCTTGAATATTCTCCACTGGATTCACTTTTAGGTGACGGTCGCAACAGCCGTGGCGAAGTGCGTTCCAAAAGGACTCAATGTAATCATTCGAAGCACTCTGTTCACCACACTTTGCCACATCTCCCTGCTCCATGTCGCCATGATGAGATTGGAGGTCTAAACACATACATTTGCTTTCAAAGTGATGTTGCGCAGTAAAACAATCCAAACCGTGAGAGTTCCTGAAATTGATAAGTGCTGAGGGGAAATGGTGTGAAATCTTCGGGCTTGTTTAGCATACACATATCCTGTGTTGCTCCTGGTGCTAATCCTGGCGCTCCCATTCCAAGACATGTTGTCGTCACAGTGTTGCCGAAAATTATACAGGTCGTCCTCATCATCATAGCCGGCGTATCCCGCATAACTGCAACAAAGTTCATCATGCGAATATTGCTTCTCACTACGAAGTCAGGCAAATAAAAAATACGCTTTTTGTCGGTGCTTTTTTGTTTTCCTGAGTTTTTATTTGACTACGGTATGGCTTATGAAAAAACACTGAGTCGAATAAGTAATTCACTTCAGAGTAATCTTTTGTAGCTGCACAGTATTGCTTAGTTGCAATTTGTGTTTTCAGATATAAGTGATTGAAGTGCTAATTAGAACACAGATTGAGATCTCTCTCTGTTATGTGGATACATCATTTTCTCGTTTTGAGTATTGACATTTCTTTTGTCTACGTTTAGCTGTGGGCAACCCACTCAAACAAAGCTCGCTCTGAAGAAGATGTACACACCGAAACATCGCCCAAACAATGTTTTTACCACATCCCCATGTTGTCTCAATCATTCAAAAATATGCTCATAAAAATGGCACATACAAGCTTTTACGACCGTCCGAAGCAATTCAGAGCCATTTTTAGCCTTTTTTTTCAAAATAAGACGATTCGCTACAGTATTAGAGCCAAATTGATTTCTAAAGTCCAGATATGGTCGGAATTGCGTATAGTCTCCCTAATGGATGCCTAAACTAGAGAACCTACCGTCCATCATTGGATTAGCAGAAACCAGAGGACATGGTAGTGGTGTGTAGAGGACGTTGATACCGACCTGACCCAATATGGTTGTGATTACAAAATCAAGAAGACCAGCAGCGCGTCCCTGCTGTTCAAGAACGTCGAGCACCTGCAAAACGAAGTTTTCTTCAACTGAGTGAGTTTTTTCAATAAAAAATAGAATTTTATTGCTTAGAGCCTTGAAAATAGCTCTGATATTACAATGATGACAAGTGAAGTGTCTATCCATGCTGTTTCAGTCCAAATAACCTGCTTTCTGAGAATTTTGAATTCACCCCTTGTATTACAAGACGCTTCACGAATGCTTCTGCTGAACCTGAATTTCGTGAAATCTGAGGAACCTGTGCACGCGCTGCTGCATCTGTAGTGAACGCCATTGCTACTGGCAAGCTGAAGCCAGTTACATTGAACTTCCATGTTCTCATACTACCTGTAATTTACAAATATCAAACTAATAAGTTGACAATCGAAGATGCTTCATAATTCTCTTCCATCTCACACATAATAACTGAAAGTGATGAGATGTGTCGAACAAAGAAATGAAGTAAATGAATGAGTAATAATATAATTAGCAATAAGAACAATATTCGAGAAGATAGGCAGATCAACCTGTTCTTCACCAAATATTCTAGATATTGTAGGTGATTTGAACTGACGCGGAAGCAGTTCAGTAAGTCTACATGAGCCCTTTTACTTGATAAGAATAAAATGTAATTGAAATGGGAATTGATTCAGAACGAGTCACGAGCCTAGTAGTCTCAAGTATACAATTTATAAAAAAGTAAAGCAGACCAATTTAATTCAACTACTGACAAACAGCACCAAAATTGTTTCTGAGAAACGTCGTCCTCTAGATTACGAGGTTTTTTCTTTGTAATAAACTACTAAATACAGCAAACTTAGATAAGGGTCGAAGTATATGATTGTCAATGAAAATGATTGCACTAGAGAAAGAATTTTCTATTTGAAACCTGGTCCACCTGGAAGTGTTCCACATCCCAGCACCGCACCGATAAACAGCAGGAAAATCAGGAACGAACGCGTTGTAAGCTTTGCCATGTTCCCCAGACTGGGCATCGTAAGCAGTATCATTTCTAAATGATTAGAGGACAAATCTACTGCTGAACTCAAACTCAAAAGAGAGCACAACGACTCCGCTGTTCCGAATCATGTGAAGGTGAGAAATCTCTT